TAACAATTAAGGACATGAACACGGGAAAGGTTACCAATAACAGCAGACTAGAGCTTCTACTTGTTTAAATAAAAATATCTACCTAAATGCTGATCAAGAGTTTTAATTAATGTATGTATGCTCTCCTTACATAGATCTAGATTTTTTTGTGAACAGTATAATACAATTGCAGTGGAGGTACTGTCCTGTTCAGCCCATCCCAGCTCTAGACAGTGTTCTGTAGTTTGTTTTTGTTGTTGCAGCTCCAATAAAGTCTGTGGAGATCAGCTACATGAGTCCGAGTGGCTCTGGGGAAGTTGTGTGCTCCACCAAGGGTGTTTACCCTGAGCCTCAAGTTGAGTGGTCAACTGAGCCGGCAACAGAGGAGCCTCCAGAACCATATACGAGATGCATCGAAGATCAGCAGCAGCTGTATAACATGGAGAGCAGGCTGACGTCGCTACAGAATCTTTCAAATTGCACATACACATGTGTCATAAGTTCTTCGGACAGGAAACAGCAATGGAGAGCGTCACTAAAAGAACAAGGTAGCACTGTGTCGCTAAAGTAGTAGCAAGCTTAACACGTAGGATGCATTGTACACCGCGATGTGAAATGGCACTAAATTGTCTTGGTAAACATTTTTAGAAATGTAGAACCTTATTTGTTAACGTTTTGCTTATTTTGGTTCTACAAGGGGAACATAACCAGCTAGAAGACCCGACTTATCCCCATGTCTTTAAAATTCAGAAAAGGATTTGACACAGCAAGAAACATTCATCTTCTCAAAGACAAGAAAATTGCAAATGCAATAAAATCTGTATTACTTAGACATATTGCTAATGAAATTTTAAGTTACAGAATTTATTCATGCATGTGTTATTTTTTTTAAGCAATTGCTGGCCCTGAAGGACAGGAACTGGCGATTCCCTGTGTCACTCCCGGTAAAAACCTGAAGAACTTCATCCTGAAGTGGAGCTTCAGATCCACAGTGGGAAGCTCTGACATCCTGTCCTATGACAGCAGGAGTGACACTGTCTCAAAGCAGTGGCAAGACACCCAAGTGAACAAAGACAGGCTGCTCTCTGGAGACGGCACCCTGCTGCTTCTGAACCCCAAGAGCACAGCCCACACGGGCACCTACACCTGTCGATATTCTGTGTTTGAGACCGTGCTCGTCATTCACACCGCCGTGAATATCACCACGCCTGCAGGTGCTGACACACAAATATAGAATACAAATAT